TTGACTGGGTGAAATACCGAATGTGTAAACCTATTTCAAGAACAAGGGCTGCGGAAGTATTTGTTTCTTATTATTATATAAATGTTTTTGTTTATTCTACAATTTCATCTTTCGATGTATCTTTTAGCACAGTTGGAATACCAATGTAATCCCGACGATAGTATTAATGTGTTCAATCTACCAGACGACAGTTACCTATTTGCCATGCAAGTCGTCACGAACGGAAATGACATACTATGTACAGTGCAAGACGATAATGCGACAACTGTGACGTTAACAGGATGTTCAAAGGTATAAAAATGCTAAGATAATTCTGACATTTGAAACATTTTAAGTTGAAATGCTTTTCTGCACCACTCTACACAAAATCAATTTGATGTTGCAATCGTAAATTGCATTAGTTTTAGATTTAGGTATTTTTGAACCATGAACGAAAAAAAGAAAAAGACAAATTATCTTTTCAGTTTTATAAAGCACTAAAAGACTTTCATTCAGAACAGAACATTTCCTTGATGTTTATACAGCGATTTTTGTTATGAACTTTCCGCAAATAAAACACCATTAGCTATTTATAATCTGCGAAGTTGTTACATTTTCAAGGGAGATAAATGCGCATTGGTAAACATTTTAACCCACAATTTTATTTACTTGCTAAATGTAAGGCCGCTCTGCTCATGTTTTGCTTGTAATTTAGGAAAAAGAAAACTTGAACTATCTCTCTTCCATTTTACACAGCCGCTCGTTTTAACATAAAACAAAATGAATGTTTGTATTATATGTTAATTAAGATATTCTGATATTTTCATGGATTATTAATTTAAAGTATAATTTATTCCATTGGTTCAGCCTTGAATTTAACAATGACCATGACTATTAACCATGCAAGTATCAAAAGTCCCTTGCAAAACGCACAATTTTGCTTATTGATTTCCTCTCCATGCTTATTTGAGCCGTGTCACGACAAAACTAACATAGTGGGTTTGCGACCAGCATGGATCCAGACCAGCCTGCGCATCCGCGCAGTCTGATCAGGATCCATGCTGTTCGCTATCAGTTTCTTTACTTGTTATAGGGTCTGTAAGCGAACAGCATGGATCCTGATCAGACTGCGCGGATGCGCAGGCTGGTCTGGATCCATGCTGGTCGCAAACCCATTATGTTGGTTTTGTCGTGACGCGGCTCAAATCTAGATAATTCATAAAGTCATTAATATCTTTCCATTTAGGTTGTTATTTCTTAGTAGATATTGGTTTTGCCTATGCATATACTGGTCTAAATTTTGATGAATATGTTGATATTAAGTAAATTATTTAAGCACTTTTGTGTTGTCTTGCTAAGTATATTACTTCAGAAATAAGACATGAAAACAGCATTGTTTCGTTATTTTTTTATAATCAGTTACATTGTTAAGTATTTAATGAAAATTATAATGTACATTATATTCTGCACAGAGTGAAGAAATCATTATAACGTACGGGCCATACAGTGAAATAGCTGCGTATAAATTACATGGTGGTAAATCTGTGATAGTAAAATTCGTGTGTCTGGAGATTGCCGAGCAAGGAGTTATCCATACAGTCAACAGTTCTTATTCAGCACAGTAAGAATTTTATCTTAAATATAGGTCTAACAAAAATGTGTAATTTTTTGCACACCTGTGCACAAAATGAAAATTGCTAGATCTGGTCTTAAATATTTCGGATGAAACATTGTCTAGTGTCTACATAAATGTTCAAATTATAGCCTTCCTTGATGAAGATGGGATACGTTTTCTTTATAATATTATGTTACAATTATGTATACAGTAAAACATATTCAAAAAGGTATTTTTTCTTAAGGTATTAAGGCTTAGACGAACATCTTTTGCATAAAACTTGTCAGGTGGACCTTTACCAATTTTATACAAACTGTAGCCATGGTGTCAATTCCGAGGCGGTTATGTATAATTACATTTTTATTAAAAACTTTAAAAATCTTCTTTAGGCAAAAGCTTAGATATTTAGCATGAAACTTTGTCTAGCGTACCTCTACCACATATGTTCAAATTATGGCCCTGTCTAAATTAGTTTTATCCCGAAGATAGGGGATTTTTCTTGTAGGTATATACAGTAACATCTTAATAAATTCTTCTTCAGTCCTTAAAGTCATTAACAATAAAATTTTAGCTCCTAGTGTACTATTGTATCCAATCGTTAGTCTCGATTCTTCTTTGGACAATTTATAATCTTCATTGCTTAGAATAAAGGCATACTTGGGCATATTAAGCAGTCATGTCCGTTTTTACTATCCATTGTCAGCTCAATACAAGTTCTGTGTGTGTGTTAATTAAATCCGGTTAGCAATTTTGTTTAAGCGTTTCTAAATTACAACACAAATTGTACCAGTTCAATATTTTGTTTTCCCAACCAGGCTGACTATAGACCAACAAATTAGTATTGACCCTTCATACAGCGTGACGTCACAACTAAGTGCGACTTCAACAACTGTTGGAAGTGAAATAATTTGGACAATACTCTTTCCAGGTAAATTATATATAATATGATATTGTCGTACAAAATGCAAATATTCCGTGTTATTTTCTTATTTATTCTGGCATAGTTAACCTATTCCATCAAGTTACATATTTCTTAAATTTCTCCTGGTAACTTTATTTAATGATACCGACCCTTTTTGATTGGTAGATACCTGACAGTTGGATGAAGTTTTGGCTGACTGGGTCAGTCATTGGAGTAAAAAAAATAATTCGGTCTTTATATATAAACTGATGATGTATTTCCTGTTTAAGGGTGACATGCCTTGGGTGGTTTTCTGCCTTCCGGTGGAGTTAACGTGTCGTTGCCCTGTCCTTTTTATGTTTGGGGTCCGCCTTGGCTCCTTGCCGTTGATTCTTGTTGCTGGGTCATATAGGGGTTGCGTTCATTGAACGCCGCCTTTCCTTGTTGATCTTGTTTTTCATATTTTAGGAATCATTTAGGGATCATTTGGGTCAATGTAAAGATCGTAGTTGATTTTTTTTTCTACTTGCATTTTGTTGACAATCGCCAAAGTTTATGACAAATCAAGTTTAATAACTGTGTCATCACACATAACTGTGTTAAACACATTTTTCTCCCTTAACTGAACAAAAATGGGTAAACCTTTTGGAAAATGTTATGATACCGATGGCATTTGAGCCGTGTCATGACAAAACCAACGTAATGCGTTTGCGACCAGCATAGATCCAGACCAGCCTGCGTATCCGCGCAGTCTGATCAGGATCCATGCTGTTCGCTTACCAACCCTATTACAAGTAGAGAAACTGATAACGAACAGCATGGATCCTGATCAGACTGTCGCAAACGCACTATGTTGGTATTGTCATGACACGGCTCATTTGTGGTCACTAAACACGTTCTTGTTATACTTTTATTTCAAAGAAAACTACATCTTAGAAGTGAGCAGCTGTACAGCGTATCCGGGCACCGATGATTCATCCGAGAATTATGTCAATTTGATCTCTAATGGCGGGTATGTCTAATATCTTTAATAAGTTATCATTTTGTAATACATTAATGATTACAATTATCTTCAAATTTTGATAAATATTTCTTGCAATATTGTTAAATATTGATTCTTCTAATAAGACTCATCTGATTTTTGTGGGATTGTTTGAAACCCCGTTCCAGGAATATTTTCTTCAGAACTCATAACAGAACTTTGACTATGCTTGGAACCACAAGAGAAAATATTTATATATTGTGAACATACAAAATGTCTATTTATCAGAACCGTATATCTATCGGTCTAAAGGTTAGGGTTTAGCATCGAAAAAACAAAATCTAATACAATTTGATACTGCCTTTAAACTAAAATTAAACTGATAAATTGTATATTTAATTATTTTGTTACAAAATTCATTTTTCAGATGTTCTGTCGTCACGGATATCATAAGTAACTTTAACAGTTATAGTAATGGAACTGCCACGGCCACATTTCAAGCCTTCAAATTTTACAACTATGAGAGTGTATTCTTTGAATGTAGTGTGAAAATATGTCCATCTGGAATAAATCCAACAGCTTGTATGGTACGTACAGTTTTATGATGATGGCATCATTGCTCCACTACATTATGTGGAGGAGACTTTACTGGAATGAATGTGTCTAGTCTGTTAGTCAGACCCAACTTTGATTGATCGGTACGTCTCTCTATCTCTGCGTGTACGCTTTATAATACTGAGCAGGATTTTCTTCAAATATGACTTCATTGTTTATAAAATTCTGTTTCTCTGGGTTCTGTTTATCATCATTTAAATTGTTTATATAAATGTCATGTACAGAACCCGTGTAGCCACTGTGTTGGCTGTTATTAAGGTAACCCTTGAATGTCAAATGTCAGACAATTTTTTATACTACCTCAAGTTCTTCTGCAAAACTTCACCTTAATGTTTGCATTTAAAAGAGCTGATAGGTGGACCTTCCTGTTGTTTTATTTGTATGTATGCCAGTCATCTTAAAGTCATCTTTAAAGCAGCAATTGTAAACAATTTGCTTAATTCAGAGTTAACAATAACTGAATAAATCATAAACAGTATTCACTTTTACTCAGTCATGAATGAATTTTACAGTATCATTTCCCCGTTCACGGGGGAGGAAGTGTTACCCGAAGGATGGAGTTCTTATGATAACTTGTTCAGGAATTCTTGTGATAACTGTCACGGAGTTCGTCGGAAAACATCTGTATATACTACATAAACACTCGTTAAAAATGGTTATTTTCATCTTTCAAAAATGAGTTTTAGGTGCTAAATTTAACTTTAATAATTAAGCTTGTCTTAAATCTTGTATTATGTGTCAAAAACTAATTCACAGGCCATTTTTAATCGCCTCTTTCTTCAAATCTGGTAGTTTTCAGTAAAATTTCCAAATTATTTGCAAATTCACAAGTATTGACCTGTTTATTTCTGGTCTTTACCCCTGCCATACATAATTACCTAACTAAAATGCAAAATTGCAAACATAAAGCACCGGCTAACAGATTTATACCCGATTTTTCAAATGTTCCGGAGTTCTTGTGATAGCTTTGAAGATGTCACAGAGTTCTTATGATAACTTTTGTTATTGCCAGTATGTTTCTTGCGCTAAATCACGGCACGTTTTAGCGTTTTTTTATTATTCAATGAGATTGTAAATCATTATGAAATGCAGTACGATCATCCTTTGCACAAAAATGTGGATGATACGTTGGTCTTAAGTGTCTGCAAAGACCGAAGTCTTTCATTATTTGGTAGGTTAATGATAAAAGTGATTAAACAAGTTTGAACCAACCCACTGACTCTCAGCACAGATGGCAAGGAAGCCCAGGGGGACCCCAAACAAAAACAGGACAGGGCAAAGACAGAGCACGGACAGGTTAATCATTAAATGATAATTAATTTGTAACTGATTAGGAATGATAACTTTTGTTATTGCCAGTATGTTTCTTGCGCTAAATCACGGCACGTTTTAGCGTTTTTTTATTATTCAATGAGATTGTAAATCATTATGAAATGCAGTACGATCATCCTTTGCACAAAAATGTGGATGATACGTTGGTCTTAAGTGTCTGCAAAGACCGAAGTCTTTCATATTTGGTAGGTTAATGATAAAAGTGATTAAACAAGTTTGGATGAAGCTAAAATATGATAAACAAGATCAACAAGGAAAGGCGGCGTTCAATGAACGCAACCCCCACATGACCCAGCAACAAGAACCAATGGCAAGGAGCCCAAAGGGGGACCCAAACAAAAACAGGACAGGGCAAAGACAGAGCACGGACAGGTTAATCATTAAATGATAATTAATTTGTAACTGATTAGGAATTCAAAGAAAATAAAAAATAGGCCCACAAAGGGGAAGGGGGACAGGAGACCGGGGGGAAGGGGGTGGGGAGTAATCAAAGAAATAAAAACTAGAGGCAAAATGGGGAAGATACTTACCGTAGACGAGAAAACAACAAGGGACACAAGCAAAAGTGTCACCAAAACAGTATGAAACAACATAAGACATACATCTGAGGAACACAGTGGGGCGCCGCCTTGGAAGGTCAGCAGCATAACAATGACCGTCCCGGGGAGCCCAAAACCGGTCAATGGTGCAACCAAACCTGCGCTCTTAGCCCCACTATGTTCCTATAAACGAGACAGTGTAAATAAAATGAATCCCCGCCCAAGTGAAATTCTAAACAGTTGTCATGGTTACAAAAGGTTAAATAAGTAAAACACTAAAAATGATCATGTAGAAACATATAAAAAGTAAACCCAATGACCATAACAAAAGTACTCAATGTCCTAAAGGAAGACAGAGCAACAAAAAAACATCACCTACAAGGGCCCGACGAAGCAAGGCAGAAGACGGAACATTAAAGACAATTCAGTCCCAAAGGGCTTTACGAAACTATCCATCATAGAGTCCTCCCACTTGGTCCGTCAAGATGCAATCAAAAGAGGAAAGCGGTAGTGTTCCAACTGTAAAGGGTTGAACACTAAACATGCAGTATGTCTTAAAAATAGTAGGGTCATAAACCTCTTTTTAATAAACGTTTAATGATTTTAGTAAAAAACAGCAGAAAAATTACCAATGACCTACCTAAAATCTTACGAAGTTTGTAAAATCAACATCGCCATAAAAACCAGGCTGGCTAATCCCTTGTCGCAGAAGAGTTTTTTAAATCACTATTGAAATTTGAAATTAAAATCAAAAGTTACGATTGTAAATTTTAGTAAAATATTTCCGTAATTTATGATAGTGTAGCTCTGTTTTTAGAAGCTTTGCTGGTAAAAAAATAAATTCCGCTCGTTGAAATCCCTTTTTTTTGCCTAACAAGCTCTAGGCGAATCTAATTAACTGGGAAACAAAACCCCGTAAGAATGTTGCATGGGGTAAGTCTTCCCATCTAAATGGTGGATAAATTTTAACTATACAAAAGTCAAAGTCAATTCTTTTATCAATAGAAATTTTTCGTGTGAATAGAATTGTTGTTGATAGTAATATGAAGATCCCAAAAATGATGTACTAAACTTTTGACCGAATTTCGTTTTATTAAAATTTGTAAGTTCATGCGCGGGTATATGTCAGAACCATTTGAAATCAAAATAAAAGGATTAATCTAAATTAAAAATAATATCAAGGTATCTGGAAGTATTATTAAATGCGAACATAACATCTTTTGTTTTATCTTCAGGAGACTCCCAACAAAAAGTCTCCTTTTCAAAAGCAAGTACAAAAACAAATCCCGGCGACCAGAGGGGGGGCAACAATTAGTAAACCGCATAGGGAATTCCCTAATGATCTGTTTTAAAATAGGGTATTAACCAAACCTGACATATGAATGTTGTCCCTAAAAGAAAAGAGAGTGGTTCCCACAAAATTCGTCACAGGGTCCAACATAGTAAAAAATGTTTTTACAAATACCTTAGTAAAAAAAGGCTTTGTTAGAATAATGGCTGAAAAAGGTAACTTTTTTCCCGTGGCAAAAAATTTTCTGAATTAAAAGGGAAATTAAGTTTATCATTGATTAATTTATGTGGCACAAGTTGTATAAATGTAGAAAAATCGTATGTACTGGACAGTTCCCAAGCTTGAAAGTTTCTTAATTTTGAATCAAATCCAAATTTCACCAGAAAATTTTTAATTGACCAAAAGAGATTTTTGCCTGTGTTTCACAAAACTTAATTACAATATTAATTAACATGTGTTTAAATGGCAGTACCAAACAAGACTCAATAAAATAGAAATTTACTTGTAGTGCAAGATTAAATTTAGCCAATGAATCTGCTTTTGTAAGGGTTTTTTTTTATGTAATTTAAAGGAATGCCAATCATAAATGAAAAAGTTTTAATTCTTTTTCATTTTATTTGTACTTTAAAAGATTTGAAAATATTATAATATGATTGTTAACAATGTCTTTTTGGGAGGCCGAGGTTTTAGAAATACGCACATTAAGTACTAAAATAAGTTTCCCCTTATGCAAAACGTTAATGTAATGGATTCGTTTAAATTATAAATATTAATTAGCCGCCTTGTCCCGGCTGGGACCAAAAACAAATTTTGAAAATGAAAAGCTAGAAATCTTTCTTCAGATGTCTTAAAGTAAGTCTTTTTAGGTGGCAAAAAGATGTTCAATTTTTTCCAGCGAATAAAGTTTAATACGTGAAATCAATAATTTTTTAAAGATGTTTACGTTTTCCATGTAACTAGAGCATTCATCCGCATTTTCAACGGCGGAACAACCCATTTGAAAACCGAAAAATCCTCTAATACGATTTCAAGCAAATCTGACCACGCAACATAAAATAAAATTTCAGAAAGGAATTCTGTATTTAGGTCCTTTCAAGAATAAAGTTTAGCGAAAATTCTTTTGTCTGCAAATTTATATCCAAAATACCCAAGTGTTATATGGCCAAAAACCTGAATTACAGAATTTAGAAGTATTGGCAAGTCTCAAGTTTGTTGGAGTATTAGACTGAAATATCTAAGTCAGAAAACCACATTTGTTGTAAAATTAAAATATGATATTTCCTAAACAGGGTTTCTTTATATTTAATAGCAAATAATTGGAATCTCGGTGCGTTTTTGAAGTAATAAGAAATGGGAAATGGGAATAATTACGACAAGGTTAGGACAGGTGTTTTATAGCCACGAAAAAATACTTGGTAAATCGATGAAATCGATACCTTTTATTAAGAAAGGTTACTTTTTAGGAAAATGCCTGTTGTGGTCAGAAGTGTTGTTCAATGTAGTGGTCTTAAGACGTGCTTAGTATAACTTTGAAATAAGATAGCTGCTGTATATAAGGATCTGTTGAATTTACTATATATCTGCTCTCCGCGTCTATATGGATTCAAGTAGATGATTAATGAATAGGGAGTAAGACGTGATAACTTTGGTCGAGGTCAAGGATTCGTGTGCTCAAAATAGATTTTTATACTTTTGCTTACCTTTATCTTTGAGGGATGTTTTTCCTTGTACGGTCTTACTTTGGGTAGAGTTAAGGGCCAGTTGGGTCAAGGTCATCTGTGCTTATATTACATGTTTCTCCCTATATAGCCTTGATTTATTGACGAAT